ACTCAGGCCATCTGCTCAGGGATGCTGCTCTATCAAAAGCCTGCTTTACATTTCCGCAGCACTTACACCACCTGAAATTATCTAAACAGCTCTAGGAGCTGTCAGTCTGGTTCCTCCAATATCTAGTGCCTGCATCCCCAGCCACGGCACAAGGCCGCTCCATAAGCATCTGCACTGCATGGATGAGTGAAGTAAATTATCCTGTTCCATCTAGGGTCATGTGAAAAGTGGATCAAGCTCTGACACTGGAATGCCACCAAGCCACCTGCTTGCCAGGCAAAAGTTCTCATGAATGGCCAGGGAGATAAGAAGAAAATCAGGAGAACGTTATATCTCAGCAGGCAAGGCTGGAGGCAGCCTGTCCCCAGACAGATTGGTCAGCCGTGTCGGATGTTGCTGAGAGGTCGAGAGCTTACACAGCAGTGATTTATGATGGTCACAGGCTGACTGTGGCTCAAACTATTAGTTAAATGGCAGGGGGCAGGGGGGGGACCGCTAATAAAATTAAATTGTAAGTAGATTATAAAGGTCCCTAAGTTCCAAAATGTATTTTATATAACCACTTTAGACATATTCATTAGTAATTCACAAATTATAAATCATTTCAAGTGATTTTTGTTCTTTTTATTATATACATGACAATAAAGACATTCACACTGTAAGCTATTTAAGCAATAATAAGTATACAGAGTAAATGAGTCTCTACACCCCTCCCTCTTCCAGAGGGAGCTGTTGTAATCCTACCAGTTGTTTATTCAATGCATTTAAATCCATATAGATCTGTGTACATTCACATGTATTTTTAACATGAATGGAACCATTTTTCTGATCATATTTTTAATCTCTCAAATTCCTAACAGCTTCTTTTTCACAACAGCTTGTTCTTCTTTTATAGTTACAATCCTGGACACACTTTGGAGGATACCTTAACTTTTAAAATTGATCTCACTTCTTCTGCTTGCTGTTTGACAGTTTCCTTGGCTGTCAAGTCTTCCTGTGTGAGTTCAGAGGCATTTTGGGGGAAGGGGCCACAGGAGGTTCTTCTCGCACACCTGGTCATCTTCGGCTGGGTGTTCCTCCTCAGCCTGAAGAGTCTTTGTTTACTTGTCTGCTCTGCTGTTTCTTTCTGCCCTAGGTTGTTTTGGAAGGTTGTGATGAAGGCGCGGGGTATGGTGGGGGCACTGGAGGTTTGTCTTGGGGAGTGGGGACCCCCGCCTCTGCTGGGGTTCAGCAGCTGCCAGGCTCCCTGGCTCCAGTCCTCGTACTCCTTGCTCTATTCTGGGTGTGGATGCCTCGCCACCGCGGCTTCACGCAAGGGCCTGTTGATCCAGGGGCCTTGGGGAGGGGCCAGCGCCTTCCTTGTTCCCAATGTGATTCCACAGAGTGGGCGTCGCTGGACCACTTGCACCAGAATCACATGAGGAGGGCGCTAAAAATGCACATTGCTTGGAGCCACCGCACACCCAAATGTAAAAGCAGAAGATCTGTGGGAATGGAGCCCAGAAAGTGATGTTGGGGTTGGGTCTGTGGGGAGCTCAGGCTGTAGCACCGTTTCAGTAAGCTCTCCAGGATCCTTCTGCAGACTGGAGTCTGAGAACCACCATTCTGACCACTTGTCAGATCGCACTCCCTGCTCTTTGTGTTACCCGACTCCAAGCGAGGTCCTGCCTGTCAGACACCCGCGACACAAGTGATTTTCCTCTAATTTATTCCTGCGTAACGTTCACACTTTCTATTATCTTTCCTGTGCATTCTCTTTCGGGAATTCCTAAAAATTTCCCACCATCTATAGCAGTCTTTCTTGTTATTCTTATTTATCTATGTTTATCCTGATATAAATATGAATGTATTATATATAAAAAATATATGTAATATATATGAAAGTAGATTTCTAAGCTATATATATATTTAAAAGTAATAAAGTTGCATTTTATAACATCCATATTTTTTATTATTTCAGGAAGGTCTTCTCTAAATTGATCTAGATATTATACACAAATAAAATTTGTAGAAAATCTCATCGTTAACTTCTCAGAGCATCATTGCCACTCTACCTGTCCAGGAAAGCGTGCTGGTTACCTTCTAGACACGCACTGCAGCTTCCTTTCCGGCCGTGAGGTCGCTGTTGCCACCTGTTCTCGGGACAAATCCTGCTGGGTCTGCGCTGACTGTTGCAGTCCCGTTCCCCTTGCCACTGGTTCATCTGGGAGGGGGTGTGTAAAGAGCTCTAGCCAAAGAGCTGTAAGGAGAGGGCTGTCTGGTGGCTTCTGGGAAGTTTTTTTCTCACATCTAAGGAGACACCAGAAAAACAGGCCCTTCCTGCCTCCGGGATGGTTCCCTTTGGCTGTGGTACCTGGAGCTGCAGCCACCCCTGATTACAAGGGACTCAGCCTGGGGTGAAGTCGAGCTGAGGGCAGCAGGGCGAGACAGAAGGAACTCAAGATGCCCTGTGACACTGTGAGCCCCGGATCCGCGAAGCCTGAAACCACTCTACCTCTGTTTCTCGGAGCTCAATGCATCCTAAAGGATAAAATCTCTGTTTCCAAATACATAGCAAGTTCCTATAAACTGGAAAATATTTTCCCACCAACCTTAGGGAAACAGGAACCTCAGGTTTATCTATTTAAAAACTGCCTACCCCCCTTAAGTAAAAATCCACAAAATTTATATCCAAGCATTTACAAATCTTTAAACAAAAGAATTATCTCAAGTTGGATAGGTGAAATTCTCTATCCTCCAACCTCCACAAAGGGGGAGGATTAAAAATTTAAAGAAACCTGATTTCATAGCACCTTCCAATATCTGGAAGTTCAAAAAGGTTTGGGTATATATAGTAAATCTACAATTTATTAACAAATTTATGTCAAAATATTTTAGTGAATTATTTTGACTTCAAACTTAATTTATAATGAAACAATGGCCAAGTAACAAATCTGGTTTTAACCTACAAATGAAATAGCACTTGCATACTACTGGGCACCTCCTGAGCTCTGACCCTAAAGCCACCCTACTCAACTTGGTCCCAGCAGTGAGGCCGGGCTGACGCAGCAGAGGTGGGAGAGCTCGGTACAGGCAGCACCGAGAAACGTCGCCAGCAGTTGGGGCCATGTAAGTGGTTCTACCCGCCATAGCTCAAATTTTCTAAAAGTGAATACTCTGCCCATTTTCCACCTTTCAGAAGTGCTTATACAGGCAGGAAGCACCAGTTCTATACACTGAAACAGCAGCGTCAGCATCTGTGCAAGTGTATAGCGATTCCCTCCAGGTGATCCACTTGATGGGCTTGAGTGAGGTGGTATATTCTCCCTCCAACTCCAGTCTACTCTGACTCTCATCATTTCTCAGCACTTATAAATTATGTTAAAAATATAATTACCAAAAGCATCACAAAGGCAGCCTCCTTGTATATACAGAGGATTCTGTGCAAACCTATTCACTAAAACTCAATTCATGTCACAGCCACTGCGTGTTATTCCTTTTCCTCAGTGTGCATATTTCTGTATGTAGCTTCTCTCCTAACCTGCCAGGGCTCCACTCCACACGCTGAGTCTTGGCACGTCCACACATTCCCTTTTAGCTGAGTCGGGGGTCAGCTACCTCCCAGTCTTGGACTGCCCTCCTCACTTCCTGAGCTCCAAGAGGCTGAAGTTGCCAGGGAGCTGTGGTTGATTAGGCTGCTTTCCACATGAGACATCTGCTCGGCCGAAGCCCTCCTTGATGTCATTAGAGGGTGGGGAACGGTGAGTTCTCTCTGGTTGTTGCCATCTTGTTTCTCTTTGTCATATTTCTTCTCACCCAGAAAGTCACTTCCTGCGCCCAGTGAGTCATTCAAGGTCCCCCTCACTCATTCCCTCAACCCCAGCTGTCATACACTGACAGATGAACTATTGTATTTACTGTGCTATTAACCACAGTGTTATATAGCACCAATATTTCACTTTTCTTGTATTTCCAAAACAATTTGTTTTAAACATCTTATTTTTCCTCCCCAAAGCCAACCAGTACATAGTTACATATTTTTAGTTGTGGGTCCTTCTAGTTGTGGCATGTGGGACGCCACCTCAACATGGCTTGATGAGCAGTGCCATGTCCGCACCCAGGATCTGAACTGGGGAAACTCTGGGCCACCGAAGCAGAGTGTGTGAACTTAACTACTCAGCCACGGGGCCGGCCCCTCGAAAACAAATTATTTTGCTACAAGTAATCCAAGTATACAGTAATTTGATAGGGCATTTTCGGAACTTGTTCTTCCTTATGTTGTTGACAATTTTATTAAACACGTTCTTAGGAGTACGTCCATGGTCAACACAAAATTTGGTTGGTAGGCATTCTAAATATTTATATTTCTAATGAGGTTCAGCCTTCTAAAATATAGCAACTGAAAACCAGAGCTACCAGACTGTATACCGTAGAATAAAAGAATTTACTCGCTTTTCGAAGATTATGTAAATTCTATTTTAGTGCAATAATTATGGATGTACTATATCCTGTAAAGTAATTTTTTAAATCTCTGAAATAAATTATTTTTAAAAGAAATAATCCTCTGGATATTTTACAAGGGCACTTTATCATTTTTTTCCAATATTTTCTTTCTCACTTATATAAAGCATAAGTACTCCGGCATTTCGAAGATACTCAACTATCTTTTTGAACCTAAAACTGTAATTTTAAGAAACGACTTCAAAGTTGTTTCTTCTGGACAGATAGTAAAGAGAAAACAATAAAAGAAGAAGTTCAGAGAATATTTCACATTAAGTTACACATTTGAACAACCAGGAAAAGCTTTAATACACGGACAGGTAAGTTTCTTACTGAGGGAAAGAAACATTTCATATGTTTAAAAATATTCACAGGTCCTTCAACATACAATCTAGTCCAGAAAAGCAGCCGAGAAAAGCAGCAGAGACCTCACCCGCACCTCTGAATCGCTGCCCGAGAGCCGCAGGGAACACAGGGGTCTTTCCAAATTCTTACAGGTTGGTTAATGTTCATTGTCTTACATGAGCTTTTCTTTGCAGCTGTCCATCTCGGTCGCTGCCTTCTGAAGCTTTAGCCCGAGTGCCTCTACTTGACACTGTAAATCTGAAATGACACAATGCATTCATCTGATTAAACATTTTAAGTGTCCAGATATTTTCATAGGGTAAACGACATTCTTTTAGAGTCGCCGTTTATTCCACATTGCCTGGATGACCATATGCAGCACGTCCCTACTTTGAAACCCCATGGAATTAATGGGTTTTGATGGACCTAATTTATTAGCCTCTTTCTGCCCCCAACATCATGCTAATTTTTAAACAGCTAATAGATTAAATTTTGCTAATGTTTTCCAAGGAAATTTATGTAGCTGACACGTAAGAATTTCTGATGCGGCTCCCTTCTGAAGGACCTGACTGCCTGCGTTAGCTCTGGCCACCTGGAGCTGAGAAGCATGGCTGAGGCCTCTGGTGGAACTGAAATAGACAAACCACGTACAAGGCTCCCAGGAAAGAACTTGTTAACTCTGGGTAGCTCCTAATAGGCATTTTAATAACTTTCAAAGCTAACAAAATACAAGTAGGAAATCGGCTTCATAGAGTCCCGAACTGGGGAATTCAAGCAGTGTTTGCGGAAGATTGTTCAAGCAGACATGTCTGACGTGTGTGTAGGTACAGAACTGAAACTGAAGCAGAAGAACAAGTGGCCTAGACGGTGTGCGTCCCGCTGCCAGCTTGTGTGTGGGAACCGTGATCTGAACCCAGCCCCAAGGACAGCCCTTGGTGGCACTCTTTTTGGAAATACAGTGGAAATCAAACTTACACAGATGGACCAACTGGTTTCTATGGAGAAAACAACTTAAAACACTGAAATTATAATATTTCTATGTTACATCTGCTCAGGTGTTTTAATATATTTTTAACAGTAAAGTTTAAAATCTTTAATCATCCATTAAAAATACATAAAATTTCTCTATATATCTTCAATCTGCCTTCTTAACTTTGTTTTACGAAGAAGAGCCAGTTCCTTAAATCAGAAAATAAATTCACTCTACACAAATGTTTTAATTAGAATTTACCAGATATTTGTACAAAACTTTATGTTCACCCAGTGCCTTCACATACATTATTTAACTTTATTCCTCAAATTGCCATGTGGGTGCTATTAGCCCCTTTTTTCAGATGAGGCAAAAATGAGATCCTGTCTGATTCTCTTGCCTGGTATCAGAACGAGCAAATGCATGAGCCGTAGGTCAGACTGACTGAAGATTTTACACTTGGCTGAGGGGCTGAGAGGACAGCCCCTCAAAATAAGATTCAACGTGGACTGACTTACTTGATAGATAATATTTGTGGGGTACATCTTTTCAGTTTATCAAGTGATATTATTAAATGAGAGAAAAGATAAAGTAACATCCGCATAGAGAATTAGTTTTTGAGCATAACCTTTTGAAGCAAGGCACTCTCTTGTGAAAGCGGCATAATGTGTGGCTCTGTTAAGTGCACGTGGGCTTGCGGAGGGGTTCTGTTCACACAGGCACAGCTACAACACCTCCCCCAGCCCCTGAAGAGCACAGGGGTCAGGAAGCAGATGTTTGATGACAGTGCACCACATCCAGGCACCGTGCAGAGTGCCTCCTCCCATAGCATTTCATCACAGTCACAACTACTACAAAAAACACATACGCATTTTATTTTTACCAGTGAAGAATCTAAGGATCAGAGGAATCAACTACCTTCAAAGGTCACACAGCTAGTTAGAAGTAAGTCCGTGATTCAAAGTCAGGCTGCCTGCTCCTGAAGTCCTGTCTCTCTAAGTGTCTTACATGGACGCTCAGAGTAGCAAAGCTACAAGGGGCTGTGACATTTATCCGTGAAAGTGTGGTCAGTGTGCCCATAGATCTGCTTAGCATATCCAGAATCTTTAAAGAGGTATACCTAAGGCAAATGAAAAGTATTATTTCTACTACATAAAATATGTAATAAATTAGTAGTGCAACTCCAAGAGGTGGTTTAGATTGTAATTTTTGAAAGTTTAAAAATTAATATATTTTAAACTTTTTTTTTTTCCTGCTTTATCTCCCCAAATGCCCCAGGTACATAGTTGTATATCTTAGTTGTAGGTCCTTCTAGTTGTGGCAAGTGGGACGCCACCTCAACGTGGCCTGATGAGTGGTGCCATGTCTGCGTCCAGCATCCGAACCAGTGAAACCTTGGGCTGCTGCAGCGGAGCGCACAAACTTAAGCACTCCGTCACAGGGCCGGCCCCAATATATTTTAATTAATGAAAGATATTAAGACAAATATGTTATCATTGTGACTGACTTTATGAAACTGACATGAAAGAAAACAATTATGCCTTCCTGTTAAATGTCCCTCAGTGCTTTTGTCAGGATATAATGTCAAACTAGATGAAGCATGGGTCTCAGCCATGTAATAAACTTTATGCTATTACTTCTAAATGTAGATATTGTTAAGAGGAAGAACTGATTACCTTAAAAATAAACTCCAAAGAATTGGTACTTGGTATGTGAATTTTATCCAATTAATTCTCAGTTACCTGATAATTAGTAGAATAGTAGACAGTAAAAATGGCAGCTAATTCAAAACCCATTTTTATGGTATTGAAAAGTATTCTTAGGCTCATATTTGAATACACTTGTGCATCAAAGTTCCTTTACTAGGTTTAAAGGAAAATAAACTACATAATCATGACCCAACTCCAGAAAGGAAAAGCTATGATACTCTCTAGCATTCTTCTCTCTACATGCCCATGGAGTCTGCCTTCCTCCCTATTTCAGGATAACCACAGATAGCTCAGTCTTTAATTCACGGTACTCGATGGGTAGAGAAGACACTTTCTTCAGATTATTTGCTACGTATTTACAGCATCTCCGAGTAAAAACAGGAAAAGCAATTAAATTTTATACTTTAAAACACAGAAATCGGGGGTGGGGGCCAGCCCGGTGGCGCAGCGGTTAAGTTCGCACGTTCCACTTCGGCAGCCCGGAGTTTGCTGGTTTGGATCCCGGGTGCAGACACGGCACTGCTTGGCAAGCCATGCTGTGGCAGGCGTCCCACATATAAAGTAAAGGAAGATGGGCACGGATGTCAGCTCAGGGCTAGTCTTCCTCAGCAAAAAGAGGAGGATTGGCAGCAGATGTTAGCTCAGGGCTAATCTTCCCCAATAAATAAATAAATAAATACAACACAGAAATCTCTGTTGGCTGTCATGAGAAGTAAATAGAAACAGAAAATATAAGTAATGTCTACAAAGAAATCATTTTATATAAGCAGAGAAGACACCACATAGAACTGAGAAAAAATGATTCATTATGAATAATCCATAATGTAAACAGCCCACCAGAGTATAATTAGGAGTCAATTAATATAGTGTCATGGCTGTTTTTTTTTTTTACTTTTGGTTATATTTTCTCTAATAAAGAAGGGCTAAGAATTATTTAAAACACATAGGATGTATCTTTACTGTTCTGAGCAAGGCACAAGCAGCCTCCTGGTTTCTTGCTGCTCCGGTAGACAGACCAGTAGGGTCCTTTTGCTTTGGAAGCAGAGGGCCCAGTTCCTGTCCTTAATAAGTAAAGGGGCACAGTCGGGAGGAGCAGCAGAGAAGAACCACCTGCCCAAGACAGCTCCTTCAGTTCCTGCGGCAAGGAGTTCTTAAACAAGTGTATTGTTCCGTGCAGTCCTTCTCTATCGTGAAAACATTCAACTTCAATTTTCGGTCATTCCACATAACATGGGCTTATAAGGCAAAGCCCTGCATGCCTACAAAAAGCAAAGAAGCACTGGCTTTACACAGCACGCAGACGTAAGGCGGAACCCCGCAAACAATCCAAAACGACAGCAGCAAATTCCACCACGACGCGACTGCGTTCTTTGCAGCTATTAAATAAGAAGCAAATGACTTTAAATGAACAAGACACAAAAGAGCTCTTAGCCTCTTTCACGCGAAGCCAGCTGCTTGCTGGGGGCATTACACAGACATTAGATTTCGGGCAATTAGTCATTTAGGAGAATCCTGTTATTCCAAAAGGTTTCTAGAAACTACATATACAAAGGGTATTCATAGTTAACTATTTTATAGAAAGATATAAAACTTTACAGTCACTTGGAGGGTATATTAAGTTAGCATAATGTTTGAGAAAACAATAAATAAAACCTTCGTAGCGGAAAGATACTTACAGCCTATAACTTTCTGGATAAAAAACACCAAAAACATTAAAAATCTGGTTCAAAGTGCCCTGTGGAGGAAAACGATTCCAGGTTCAAGTAGCGGAATGGAAGAACAAGCAGGAGATTCGGCCCCCAGAGGTCCCGGTGCACAGGCATTTTTTTTTCATGAGAAGTTGAGCTGTATGTATTTTTAAGTGGTGGAGATAATTGAAGAATAGGAAGACAAAAGCTGGCCACTCTTTTAGTACACTGCCCAGACCAGCCAGCTCGGGGGTGCTCTCCGGCCGGACTGCCTGGTTTCAGAGCCGGCTCGGCTTCTGCCAGCTGTGCGGCTTCAGGCGCTTCAGTTTCCTTACATATAAAACGGCTACTCCAGCAGAGGGTTGTCCTCAGGATTAAGTGACTTGACACATGTAAAGAAGAGAACGGTGCCAGGCCCACCACGAGCACCATGAACAGCGAGCTGTGATCATGGGTGGTGGTCGTAAGGCACCCCAGCTTCTGCCCTGAATCTCATCACTTCCCACCTCAAGGACAACGTTCTTGCAGTTGGGCCTGGTTATCACACCAGCGGGTATGGGGAAGAGTAAAAAGGGAAGATTTAACCGTGTGTATCTCAATAACAATCTACAGAGTAACGATGGCAAAGTGTTAAAACTTGTTAAATGTGGGTGATGGTTTTCACACACATTTGTTATATTTTCTCTGTATTTTTCTGTGTCTGACGTATTTTATAGATATATTCTTTAGAGAGGGGTCCATGTCTGCACTGAGGAGTCTAATCAACCCAGTTGTGTGTGTCCACGGCACAAAAGGAAACAAGGAGCAGAGAACTTGGCGGGGGTGGGAGATGTGGTTAAAACAGTCATTAAAGACGACACATTCGATTCTGTGAAGAGAGAGCAGCGAGAT